AAAAAAAATACTCAACTGTATATTGATAATCAGCAAATCAGCATATTAGAATGATTTCTGAAGGATCATGTGACACTGAAGACTGGAGTAATGATGCTGAAAATTCAGCTTTGTATCACAGGAATAAATTACATTTTAAAATATATTCAAATAGAAAATTTCTAAATTTTACTCTTTTTGCTGTATTTTGGATCAAATAAATGCAGACTTGGTGAGCAGAAGAGAATTCTTAAAAAAAAACATTAAAAGTCTTACTGTTCAAAAACCTTTGACTGGTGATGTAGGACGGCTGATTATTGTTATAGATTGAAACAAATGTGCTTCAGCCAGGATAAAGAATATGAAAAGTGCTCCGAGTTGCTGCAGAAAAAAAAGAGCAACAACAAAAACATGTTGCTGGAGACGGGCTTATTGAAAATTGAAAAACTGCTAGTCTGCCAGCAGGAGGCGCTGTGAGAGCGTTGTTTAGTTAACACTCGAAGGTGATTGGGCTCTCGGGCGAGATCCCAATTCGTCAGTCACTGACGTAACGTTGAACGTGACTGACTGAATGGGAACTAACGGTTTCTCCAGTAATGGCTGTAAACAAAGCAGCTCCGCTCATGAACGCTACTTTATCAGATAAAAATGCTATCTAAACTATTCTGAAGACAGTCGGTTCCCTTCAGAGATACATTCATATAAAACACCCGTGACGCGTTTTGATTTTGAAACGTGCAGTGCTCATGTTTATTCAACGAAGTTAAACGCCACAAATAAATCAATGTATGGGAAACACTGGTAATGTATATCGAAATATCGAAAATGTGTTTAAAAATCATATCACCGTTATTGAAAAATATTATATCGCGATACATATTGATATTGAATTATTGTCCAGCCCTATAAGAGATTTACAAGCAAATTTTAAAAGGCCGGTCAATTTTGACTGGGAAGATTTTAATGCTCTTATGTGTTTAAGAATGTGCTTAAGCAACCCTCTACGCACACCTTGGCAATATAATCACCATTAGCTAGTAAGTTTTTTAGTTTAGTTGCCACTGATATACTATTTTATACACACACACACACATACATACATACATACTGTACATGCATACATATGATTTCACCAAATCATCTTATCTTTGTAAAATGGTACAGCTTCTTAAATCTTAGCTTCATAATCTGTTAATCAAGCATTATATTATGATATTATGATAATTAAGCACTATTTATTTATTATTAATTACAAGAGAACTTAAGTGATTAGAACTAAAACTTGGTAACCATGTATGAATGCATATTTGTTATTTTAACTGAACTTAGGACTGGTGGTGATGCTTAAGATATTGTTGGCCATTCAGGGTTTCTGTAAAAAAAAAAAAAAAAAGTAATAGATAATAGTAATTATTATTAAAAGATAAGACTACTACTAGTTCTACTACTACACTAACAATATACAACGAACTAAGGATTGATGAACTGCTGGGTTCATGAATAATAGGCTACGTTCACACTGTCAACCGGCATATCTTCTGCTTTTTCTTAAAAGCTGAGTAATTCCAAATGAACTCCATTATTTTGACAGGAAAATACAAACCCGATTCCAAAAAAGTTGGGACACTGAACAAATTGTGAATACCCACCTTTTTTGGAATGTGTAGCTCTCATGAAATCCAAAATGAGCCAATATTTGGCATGACATTTCAAAATGTCTCACTTTCAACATTTGATATGTTATCTATATTCTATTGTGAATAAAATATAAGTTTATGAGATTTGTAAATTATTCCATTCCTTTTTTACTCACAATTTGTACAGTGTCCCAACTTTTTTGGAATTGGGTTTGTACAACAAAGAATATGGTTTACATGTAGCACGTCAATTTAGTGTGGTAAGACTTTCTCTCTCTTTCTTTGAGTGTGTGAGAAACACAGCGCTCTCAGCAAAGCAACGGCGAGTCGTGCACCTTCACACTAGAGTTTACGGTACGTCAAATAAAGGTATGCTGCACAAGCATTGAGAAATTGAAAAATAGCACAGATCGCTTGACGGAGAGTGAAACTCTGAAGCGCTCAGTCAGTGTTCAGCTATTGAAAATATATCTATGCTAAACTTATAATTAGCTTCTCACACACATACTGGTGAGAGGAATTTATTAGCCAGTGGCTTACGATTAGTGTTGGGCAGTAACGCATTACTTAGTAACGCGTTACTGTATTTTGATTACTTTTTTAGTAACGGAGTAATTTAACGCGTTATAATTTTAAAAATAGTAATTAGAGTATAGTTACAAGCAGAGGTCTTTATACGTTACTGCAGCATTACATTGCTGACAGAATGCAGTGTTTTATAATCTAGAGATTGTAAAAAGGAGCACACGCACTGTCGAGTTAAGTGCCAGTGGATTAGAGACCTGTTCCCGCAAGACCCGACGTAACGGAGTGCAGTGCGGGAGAAGATGCTGCTGCGGGGGGGTAGACACTCGTGTGTGTGCGGGATGTGGGAGAATAAAATGATTCACGGGACTCCGGCAAAATAGAAATATCTAAACATAAAATATCTAAAACAAATAAATTGTTGTTCATCTATTGCACAAAAGCAACATGAACTAATATAAAATATAAATGATTAACAGGTGCAAGCGTATGCAGAGTTTCTATTTAGGCTATAAAACGTGTTTGCAGCGTTGAGCAATGCTGTACTGAAATTTGCGTGCTCACGAATCCTCTCATTTTAACACGAATTGTAGACATTATGAAAGATTCATTATGCATATATTTATTGTGTTATAACAGATTTGTGAGATTGCAATGAACTGAGATGTCTTTTAGAGATTATAAATGCAGCGCTCTTTGCTGGCATTCTGCCATGCCAAACCATGCACGCAGCAGCCGCTTGCTTTAGTTGAAAATAACAGTGTTCTGTGAATGTTGATGCTTTAATAACAAATATTTATTGGGAGCGTGTAAGCTGGGATCTCATAAATTTCATGGAGAAAAAAGTAACGTAACTTGTAAATTAGTAACTAATTACTAATTACCTTTGAAATAAAGTAATCAGAACAGTAACAGGATTACTTTTAAAAGGAGTAATCAGTAATTTGATTACATTTTCAGAGTAACTTGCCCAACACTGCTAACGATAGACATTTAGTCACCCCAGAGTAAGATTTAGTCACATATGCGAGTGATTTACTCGCAGTGTAGAGGGTTGTTAAGTGTTACTAAATTGCGTTGTGCCATCTCATAAATTTTAGTTAATGTTGAGACATAATTTTGCCATCAGAAAGCTAACAGGGTTAATGGTTTTATTTGGCATTACAAGCCTTGTGCTCAAGGTTGTAAGACTACAAGGTGCTTGTTAGGGAATTGGATGCTGATATTTCCACACATTTATTTATATATATACTGTATGTGTGTGTGTGTGTGTGAGATCAATTATAACTCATGTAAATGGGCTTGACATTTTAAATCCCTATTGAGAAACATGACAAAACATCATGTTTTAAAAGACCACTAATTTGTTCTTGAAGCCTTTTTTGAGAATGATTGATTGCACTCTTGAAAGGATGATGTTGTCATTATGGCAGTTTTTATTTTTAATAAAGGGGTCATATGATGTTGCTAAAAAGAACATTATTTTTTTGTATTTGGTGTAATGCAATGTGTTTATGCAGTTTAAGGTTCAAAAAACACATTATTTTCCCCATAATGTACATTATTGTCAGGGTTTGAAATTAACACCCGCCAAATGCGGGTAAAAATCAGCTGTGGCAGGTAACGCTGTCAAATCACTAGCCAGTTTGGCGGGTAAGTTATGTTCACTCATTAATTTCTTTGGGAAGTTCATGCAAGCCAAATCTGCGCAGGTTTAGCGCAAATACTGAACTCGTGAGACATCATGACATTATCGAGTAGCCTATATTGCAAAAACCAAACAAAACCCAAGACTGGTAGCCCAAGACTGGTTGCCCACTGAAGCTAAGCAGGGCTGAGCCTGGTCAGTACCTGGATGGGAGACCTCCTGGGAAAACTAGGTTGCTGCTGGAAGAGGTGTTAGTGAGGCCAGCAGGGGGTGCTCACCCTGTGGTCTGTGTGGGTCCTAGCGCCCCAGTATAGTGACGGGGACACTATACTGTCAACAAGCACCGTCCTTCAGATGAGACGTTAAACCGAGGTCCTGACTCTCTGTGGTCATTAAAAATCCCAAGATGTCTTACGAAAAGAGTAGAGGTGTGACCTCGGCATCCTGGCCAAATTTGCCCATTGGCCTCTGATCATCATGGCCTCCTAACAATCCCCATATCTACTGATTGGCTTCATCACTCTCCACCAATAAGCTGGTGTGTGGTGGGTGTTCTGGCGCACTATGGCTGCCGTCGCATCATCCAGTAAACTTATTGGAAAAGATACATTTCTATCACTGCTGTGAACTGACCACACAGAATATGAAGAATATCAAAAACTTTAGGAGTCAGCTGCCCACGGTATCCTTAAGATATCAGCACAATAACACACTCAGCAAAATATTGTCTAATTATCTTTATCAATAAAATCCCAGAAAATATTGAGATATTATTTTTTGTCAATATCGCACACCCTTAGTACCGACACAAAATGATTTGCAACAGTCGCTTTTTCATGTAGACAGCCTCAAGCTGTTGGTTTATTTAGTTTTTTTTTTGGGTGGTAGAAGTTATGAATGGCCGGTAACTTAAAAATTTAGTAGCCAAATTGGCTGGTGAGTAAAAAAGTTAATTTCAATCCCTGATTATTGTTTTTCCTCTATGACCCGCCTTTCTGAAACGCATCGATTTTTACAAAGCTCTTCGTTCTGAAAAGCGAGGTGTGCTCTGATTGCCCAGCTATCCAGTGTGTTGTGATTGGCTGATTACCTCAAGCATGTGATGGAAGTGTTACGCCCCTTACCATACTGTGTTTCCATGTGTCCCGGCGCGACGAGACAAAACCAATAAAACCCATTACAAAGGAGGCATTTGTTGCATCCAGTGGGGACATAATTACTGATTATAATGACTTATACGGTGTTTTTATGCTTGCGTTGGGTATTGCACCCCGCAAACATAAAACCATGTCTGCATTTGTGATCGGAGAAATTACAAACAACAAGCGCTCAACACACACTGCTCAAACTCGCGTTTGAATCATCAGTGGCAAATTCTTTAAATATAAAAAATGTATTTACAGGCTGTGAGTCAGAAGCGCCAGACTGTCCTTGCAAAGTTGGAACTGCCCCACTTTATAGAAACATTCTCCTCTTTTGGAAGGCCAAACAAAGTAGTTTCGCGTTCACAACGAAACACGTTTCGGCGTGAGCGGTGCCCGGCGGATTTGACGAAGGAGGCTTGCGGCAACCACATGTGATGACCCCGGGCTGAACTCCGCTTCGTCCACGGTGAAAGCCGATCCGGCGATTGACAGCGCGAAGTTGATGTATTTCCTCAGCGACCAGCACGGATCAGCTCTAGGCATGATGAAGCGAATATCGTCCTCTTTTGGAAGGCCAAACAAAGTAGTTTCGCGTTCACAACGAAACACGTTTCGGCGTGAGCGGTGCCCGGCGGATTTGACGAAGGAGGCTTGCGGCAACCACATGTGATGACCCCGGGCTGAACTCCGCTTCGTCCACGGTGAAAGCCGATCCGGCGATTGACAGCGCGAAGTTGATGTATTTCCTCAGCGACCAGCACGGATCGGCTCTAGGCATGATGAAGCGAATATCGGCCTCTTTTGGAAGGCCAAACAAAGTAGTTTCGCTTTCACAATGAAACACACAGTGTCTTCACAACATGGCGGCAACAACAATACAACAGTGAGAATAAAAGTTACGCCTTCTTTCTTTGCGTGAACATTTGGGCGGTGTTATGCAAATCTTCCCACACAGTGACGTAGACATGTGGGGGCGTGTTTAAACGAGGTGTTTAAGGAGGGCGTGGACAAGTCTTAACTTTTATAAAGAATATCTCTTTGGATTTGAGACTTTAGTCTTTGCAACTTTACAGATTTTTTATGCACTAAGAGCTTGTAACACTCCAAAGAGAAAATACAAATTTAAAATTGCATCATATGACCCCTTTAATGTGTTTTATCACTTTAAATGGAAATGATTTCTCCTTTATATGGTACTAATTCTTTTAGCTGTCAGCAATATGTTTAAAGGTGCAGTAAGCAATTTCCGAGAAATGCTGTTGATATTTGAAATCACCCAAACAAACACACCCCTACCCAAAAGAATCACACCACTATCTTGCCTCCACCCCAAATTTCTGAACATGATATTCAACACAGGCACATCCCCCATCACTACTGGACACGCCCCTTACTGGTGATTGGCTACAAGTGTGTTTTGGTGCTCGGTCCGATCCACTTTCAACAGTGTTTCTCAGAAATCGCTTACCGCACCTTTAAAGCAGAAGTCAATTCTGTCTTTTTCCTAACTAGTTAAAATTGCCTCTGACTTCATAGCCATGATGAAGTGTTGTACGGTTGGTGATAGCTACAATATTAGCATTTGTCCTTCATGTCAACTCTGAGCCAACACCCTAGCGATAAAAAAATAAATACAAAACCACAAGATTGAATTCAAAGGCATCAAAACTTTAGACAGCTAAAGAAAAAAACTGGACATCCACAAAATACTTTTTTATATATATTTCTCACAAAATGATTTGATTGCCCTTCTGTATTTTGTTCTCGGGCAGAAGGAGAACAATAGGAATTTGCAGTGAATGCGCCATCATACCATCTTGTTTGTGAATGGAGAAATTTAGTGCTGCCTTCTTGTCACCCATGCTCATTTCTGTTGAACATATTTTACCATATTTAAAGTTCCACAAAATTCTGGACGTTCTCTCCCAGGCAATCCAAAGTTTCTTTTTGTTAACTCTACATGATTTTTGCATTTCTCCACATTACTGCCCAAAGCTCTTAACTACCGAAAGGTGCAGCTATTATCCTTTTAAAATTTGATAACCTGAGGTATTATGCTTTAATTGGCTGGTTTTATTAACTAATTGGCTCCCGTTTGGCTGTAAATTGTGTAGGTAAATTCCAAATTACTTCTGAATGACTGGAGTTTGCAGAAATCCCTGTTTAAAGTGTCAGAATTGCATTATTTTCCACAGATTTTTTGCATGTTGGTAATGCCAGTGCAGTATGAGCGATGGAGAGATATTAGCATTCCCATTGCACAGATTGCCTGCGTAGTCTCACTTTTTAAAACCCAACACGAAACTGTTGTCAGCAGCCCCACCCTCTCCCCTCATTAGACATCTCATCAGCAGTCAGTCGTCTCATGGATAATTTATGAGTGCAGCGTTTTGGTTAATTTCACAGGCAGCGCAGGTTTGCTCTTTAGCTCTCTCACCACACAGGGGAGGTTAGCATTAACTCATTGTCTGCTCTGATTTTCCAGCCCAGAGCAACAGTGCCATTTAGAAAATAGTCAATCCTAACAGATACCAATGAGGTTTAGTCTCAGTTGCTTGTTGGCTCAAAGATGCACGATTCTAAACAACCTGTAGGGAGATTCACTAAGCCACCAGGTTACTAAATGATTTATCCAGCTTTCCACTGACCCACAGGGTTTACCTTTAACAATCACGCCTTTAATCATTGCACTCCTGTTGAGAGTGTCTGGATAGACTGGTGATTGGCTGAGTGGATCAGTGTCGGGAAAAGGAGACTTGATACCAACAAACCACAATGCTCCGCTAACCCACACAGCGCCGGTACCAAAGATGGTTTTCTGTGACAGTCGACTGTATGGTGCTGAAATTGTTGTACAGTTAAGAAAGTACCCTAATCCTTGCAATTAAAGTTTTAGTTCAGTGTAAAAGTTCTAATTTTGTCATCTTTTATTCACCCTTAGGTTGTTTCAAACCTGACTTTTTTTATTCACTGGAACACACAAGGCAAAATATTCACACTACTCTTTTCCAGTCAATGAAAGTGAAAGTAGACAACCACTAAATAAAATAACATGTACTTTTAAAAGTTAATTTCAGATGCACTGAAGAAATAACTTTTTTTTTATGTCATGTGAACATTTTAATCCAACTAAAAACTAATAAAAAAGTAATTAAATGATGACAGAATTAAAATTTTTGGGTGAGTTAATGGGTTATGCATGTAAATGATAAAATATTTTTCCTGACATAATGTAATATGCAGAGGCAATTTATAAGTAAGAATTTGTAGGTTGATTCCTTAAAGCAGGGTTTCCCAAATGGGGGTTTGCGACTTGAAGAAAAGCTAATAATGAATTAAATTAAAGAAATGGGTCTGCACGATTAATTGAAATACAACTAAACTTGCAATAAAATTTTTGAATGTACTTCAAGTAAATATTCAGTCTGATTTTGAAGGTAAAAACTTTGATGGCCTTTTTGCCCTCTTTATTTACAACATGGACAGTAAAGTGAGTACAGGACAGGGAAACGGGATAAGTCCAAGTCACATTCAGACCTGTGCTGCCAATGTATGTGAACATGTGCGCTAACCTCTAGGCCGAAGCACAACTCTAGACCCACTTTTACATAAGCCTTCTGCACCTGCAGCAGAGCACAGAGGTGAAGAATTACAACCCATAGCTTGAGTATTTCATCAACCTCCAAGCTCATTCATCTCCCCTGCAGATAGCATATTGCAAGCAGATTGTAAGAGGTGCATGTACCTCGCAATATACTAATGCATGAGTAGGTGTAAATCCAGAAGGACCTCTGCAGTTCTTTCTCCTTGCACCTCTTCTTTACCTAGATCTGGCACGTGCGGTCCTGACCTATGAAGTGAGGTGATTAGAATTGGCTATCATTGGTATTCATTTCCAGCTCTTAATTCCCCAGTCTTACTCAATCTCCCACTCCCCACTTGACAGAGAACCACAGGTTAAACGCAAGGGGGGACGCTCCATCACGACTAGATTTGATCCAATTAAGTATAGATTTAATCAGGCCTTGTATTTCAGGAGGTGAATGCGCAATGTGATCCGCATGGTAACTGCAGACTCCTCCGCATGGATTTTCCGGCTCAGTTTTCCACGGGGATTGGCTGAGATTACGGGTTGGTGTGTGATTGTCATTGTTCGTTTCTACTGTTTTTTTTTTTGTTTTTTTTTTTACAGTTTTTGACAATATTTTGACAAATGCCCTTTTTAAAAAATCAATTATTAAAAGTACAACAATTACTTATAATAGATTCTGTATACAGTATGATGAATTTGATGGGTTTATCATACATGGTTCAGTTTATCAGTTTTTATCTCAATCTGACCAAACTATACTCTGAGACTTTAGGCATCTTTTTCAAATTTAAAGTCCATGTGAACCGGAAGTTGCTGCCGACTTCAGTACTGTGACGTATTTCTAACTGAAACGGAATAATGAGTAGAGGGCAGTGTAGCGAATCAGCTCATGGGGAAATATGAATAATTAATCATAACTAGTTATAATTAATTATACATATTTAGATCCACTGTAAATATTTACTTGACCTCTCAGGGTCAACTGTCTGTCAATTCTAAGAATGTTAATTTCCTGGTTAAAGGAAATAACTTTCTTACTGTACAACTCTACACAGAGCTTGTAGCATAAATCTGCATGATTAAGGGACTCCAGTTATGAGCAAACAATGAACAATGTCTAGTGTGATACAAGTAAGGCTTTATTAACTACATAAACACTTAAACTGGTCTAACATACACAAACACTTAAACTCGTCTAACATACACATACACACACACACACATACAGTTGGTATAGGAAAGGGTTAAAGCTTAACGCCGTAAAGAGGAGAGAAAATAAGAATAAAGTTATGGAACCATTTGCATATTCAGCAGATCTACCGCCTGAAGGAAACATCAGATTCTTAGTTCAAAGACACCTTTGTAAAAAGGTGCAAATATCACCTAATGTATCAATTAAATAAGACTAAGTTTGAATACTTGCACGA